AAAAAAAGAAAAAATAACAATTCAGAATTAATTTTTTATATGATTCTTTCACTTAAGACTATACATAAGAATTTTACATTAATTCAACATTATCAAAATAATAATAATAATATTTTTTAGGTGAACAAAAAAAATAAATTAATTAATAAAAATGATAATAAGAAGAAAATAATTGATTTTGAATTAAAATCCTACACATAAGCATTTCTGGAAGAATAATCACAAAATCAATTAGGCGCATAATACTATATTATAAATAAAATTACAAAGATTCTAACTTAGTCAAATACTTGATATAGTTACATGCGATTTTTTATGATTTTTTATTTAAATCAGAATATTTCACAGAATCTAACATCAAATCAATAAAAAGTCATGATACTTCTTTGAAATATTATTTGACATATACAATTATTGATGATGAAAATTAATTGTTTAATTTAAATGATGGGTGAAATCACATATCTTTTTTTAATCAAAACAGCAGATTATTTACAGAAATATTATTAAAATTTTAATTAATATATAATAGATTAGTGTCACCTTAATTTTTTTATTGTTGCAAATAAAAGCAAGAACATTGAAAAGAAAAAGAAAAAGAAAATATGAAGATATAAAATGTCATCAAAAAATCCTCTGATCAGATTGATGTGATAAACTTATCAAAAAGTAAAATAAAATAAAAATCTATCGATAATTTTCAAAATTAAAAGACTTAAAATTTATGAGTGGTGGTAATACATGTTTAAGAAATGCGCTTACATATTTAATGTATGTAATGTTTTTTTAAAACGTTGTCTTTTATATATTTTTTACGTGATTTTACAGATTTCTATTCTGATGGATCACCGAAAATTAAAACACTGCTATACAGAGTCATTATTTACTCAATTTTGTAAGTATTTATTTTTATTTTTCTAATGTCTGAAAATCATTTAGCAAAGCTTCTTGAAAACATTTATAAGAGGCTTGGCAAAATTAAAGTACACATACTATTTTTTTTTAAACATTTTAATAGAAAGACTTTGTCCAACAGCCTTTGATTCTGTAAGTAATATGTATAAAAACAAATCTAAGTCCATTATTAGTTATAAATAATATTTATAGGTTGTTCTCAAAGTAGGTAATACAAAAAAAATGTCCTTTAAACTGATTTTGATTCTATTTTTTTTCCCATATTGCATCTTATATTTTCTGTTTCAAAATATGTAATCATTAACACAATTATAAATTAATTCTCAACTCACAAAATCTTGTGCTAGGAATACTAAAAGGTTATAATTAAAAGGCATAAAATTTTCCAGCAACACACACTCTATTTATCATCTTCTTCTTTTTTTCTTAATAGTTTTATTATTATTGAAACAAAATTCATTACGATTTTGACTAAAATTATTTTTTACAAAAATCTATATTTTGCAATGTAAAAATTAAAATATATAAATCCAAAATTCCATAAAACACAAGAAAAATAAAATACATGTTGAAAAAACTTATTTAATAATAAATGGAATGTTTTTATTGATTAAATTGTAATTTGTTCTACTTTAACTCATATTTCTATTACAGAAATAGTTTATCGAATCCGTACATTAGCTCGTTTCAATTTTGTATTATTTTATTTCCATGTATTTTAAAAGTAGAACTTGAATCTCATATAAAAAATATAAAAAATAACATGTATGTAGAAATTATTATTTACTAGATTTTGATCACAAATATTTATTATGCATTCATTACAATGTGATAAATTTAATCTTTTGTATATAAAAAATCTAAATCTAATCAATTCTTTAATTTTATAAATTAATGTGTAATTTTTGAATTATATTTTTTTATTATTTTAATTATACATATATATATATATATATTAAATACCTCTAAAATAGAATGTTATGGTTTGTGTTACAATATTTTTTGATATAAAGATTTTTTTTTGATTTAAAGAATATCATCTTATAAAAGTATTGCAAATGTAGGTGATATATGAAATCATGTATAATAAACTCTTCTATATTTTTTATTTTTAATGATTATAAATTAAAATAAAAATTAATATAACTAATGTAATCATGTAAAAGTTCATTTGATAATTATATAACTTCTATTTTATTATTAATGATTCTAATATCTTTTTTTAAAAAAATATTTATGAGCTTGTAATAAAAAGTACTAATCTATGCTGTTTTAATATTAAAAATTAAATTATCTTAATATAAGAATGAATGGTGATAAATAAACTAATTGATTATTTTTTAGTAAAAACTTTAAAACCATATCTATATATATATATATATATATATATATTCATTTTTCAGATATCTGTTTTAAGAACTTTACATTGCAAAAAGTAGATATCCTACTCCTCAAAGAACAAAAACTAGCATTAAATCCCCTTGAATATTTTTAAAATATATATTTTTTTATAAACGAGTCATGAATACTTATTGAGGTAGTAGAAACTATTTGCTACATGGGTTTGTTCTCTTAATTAACCATGGCTATAGAAATATAAACAAAAAATATGCAATATTCATATTTTAAATTAGGAAATAAGTAATATAATAGAAGTCCATAAGGTACGGTTCTTGGTATTAGCCTTAGATGTTGACTCTATTTCAACCTTTATCATTTATTGTGTCATTTCAATGAAGCAATTCTTAATTAATATTTCAAATAAAGTCACAAACAACTAGACACTTAATAGAATGTAAAATCTTTTGGATAGATACACATAGACAAAGAAACACAATTATTTATAATATGTAAGATTGGTGTGTATATTTAAAAAATTTGTATTAAAATACTTGATCCTTAAAAGCTATTAATATATGATATATGATACAAAATTTTATTACTTGTCTTTTTTATGATTAATAATATAAAATTAAATTTTATTTAAGAATACTACCATATCTAACTTCTATAGACATACACACATGTATGTGTATGTATATATATATATATATATATAATCAAATTAGTTTATACTTAGTGTTCCTCCTATTAGATTAAAAATTTAAATACTATTTAAAAGAATATATCTATAAAAATCTTATATTAACATTCAAAAGCTTTGTTTGACATTTAAAGTCTTATGTTAGCAAATTAAGCTTCTATGTCAAGAAAAAAAAATTAGATCCTTGGTGTGGAATAATAATTTAAATACATCTTTAATACCAAAAATATAATAATAATAATAATAATAATATGTCTAAATTCAGCGCACTTGTATTACAACATAATATAAAATAAAGAAAAATAAGATATAGAAAATGAAAAAAGAACATTTGACCTTCCTACCAGTGAGAAAAAAAGGGTGCTTGAAATGAGAAATATACATAGATGCATCTTGGATAAAAATTATTCCTTTACCTAAATTTCTAAATCTGTGAATCTGTCTTCTTATTTTTTATTATTATTTTTACTTTTTCAGCATAACTAAGTGACTACATAGTCTCAATGTTAGATATGAACTTGAACAATTTTTTTAACAATACATCCTTGGTTATTGTGTTGAATCAGATTCTCATTTGTTGTTGATGTATCTGAGAATGATGCGATTTTTCTTATGTACCTTGAGTGCATAATTTGAAAGATGCTTTTATGATCCATGATAATGAATGAATGAAAAATTCATCCCCTTAAAAACTAAAAATACATATACATATATAAATATATATATATATATATATATACTTTAAATTATTATCACTGCTTACATGACTAACCATAATGTTAATCGAATGGCCAAAAATCATATCTCGATTCATCAAATATAAACTAACACAGTTGCATATGTAAATATAAAAGTGTTTCTTCAGTATGTAGTAGTATATTTAGTCCACATGTTTGTGTATCAAATATGTTTTGGTTTAACATACTTTATATCAGAAACATAAAAGACACACTCTATTAATTTAATTTGCATATATATATATATATATATATATATGAATTTCTCTCAATATGTATATGTATCTACATTTGGAATAGTTTATTTGATTTTATTTAGTTCATGTAATAATATATTTAGTTGCATTTATTTTATTAGTTCATGTAATAATTATTTTAGTTCATGTAATAATTTTAAATTTGATTGCACGACCTTATGTGGAAGCACGGCAACATTCAATTTTCCATGTGTCAGTTCCCCACAGGACATGAGACAGAAGCGGATGATAAATAATGGATGTAAGAAGAACACGTGCAACAAGTTCATCCATGGATGAACGAGGCGGAGGAAGCGTGGAATAGGCGTGGAATAGGCGTGGAACATTAATTAGGGGAGGCAAATCAGATAACCAGCCGGGACAGAGCGGGTGGGGGAGCTGGGAACGGGGTCGTGTCCGGGTCCGGGACGGTGGAGGTGGAATTGTGTGCATTTGTGTGTGTTCTGCAAGGAGGAGGGTGGACATGACTAAGGTTTCCAACAGCAACGGGACCCGCAGGGTTTTCAAATATGCGGTGAAATAGACAAAACATAAGTAAAAATTACAAGAAAAACCTTAACAGAAAAAAATAAAAAATAAAAAATATACATACATACATATATTTGTATGTATGTTCCAACGCGGTGTTGGCGCACGGGTAACATGACGGTAACAATCGGTGGTACGTTCATCGGAGCATGAAGTAATGACGGAGCAACGGAGGAACGGGAGCGAAGGAACGGAACGGAAAGGGGGGGAGGGAGTGAGAGAGTCGGAGTGACGGGGAAAAAGAGCGAGAGAGACGGAGAAGGAAAAAAAAAGGACGGAGGTAGGGACAGAGAGGCGAGGGACAGAACAGAACAGAATAGAAAACAGTGAAGAGACGGAGAGACAGCGAGAGCGAGAGCGAGAGAGAGAACGAACGAGAACGAGAGCAGAAAGGAGGACGGTGAGAAGGGAAGGGAAGGGAAGGGGAGCAGGCAGTGAAAAAGAGAGAGACGCGGGAGCCCAGACGAGGAGGCGAGGAGGCGAGGAGGGGGGGAGGGAGGGAGGTGTTAAGAGTTGCGCTTCGTCGTCGTATATAGTCAGTCAGTCAGTCGGTCACCCGCAACAGACAGACAGACCATCATCGTATGCAACGCCAACGTTGGCAGGAAGGAAAGAAAAGGAACGGAACGGAACTCCATAAGCTCGGTTGCCCACGCTTATTATTATTTATTATTATTCTTATTCTTCATCGTTTAGTCCTCTGTGTCTGTCTGTCTTATTGGAAGAGCACATCGTTGCATCTCTTCTGCTTCCTATCGTTTCTTTTCCCCCCCGTACAGCATGCACTTCTCAGGACAACAAAACTCCTGAGATACCTACGCTACAGGTCGTCACGGAAAGAGACCAAGCAAGGCGAGGTCGTGCGGGAGGTGGATGGAATACGAAAGCGAAAGCAAACCCTGACGAGAGAGAGAGGGAGAGAGAGAGAGCAGTGGAGGGAGGTGTGGGATCGTGGACATGCATGGTAGATAGGTGACGGTGTAAGCGATTTGGGTAGCAACTTGGCCGGTATGAAGGCGAAGAAGAAGCGGGGCGTTGAGGCGGTAAGTTGAGCGGATGGGGCCTCGTGTTGGGGAAGAGCGATGGAAATTGTGGTGTGATGAGGTGGGAGAGGATGTGAGACTGTGGGGGAGATGGGAAATCGGCTGGGAAAGGAGGTTGGGAGTTTGTTAGAGTGTTAGGGTTTTATTCGCTATTGTGTGTGTGAATGAGAGAGAGAGAGAGAGAGAGAGAGGGAGAGGGCGGGACGTGGGTGAAGCTCATTGAGAACGAAGCGAACTGTAGTGGATGTTGACGGGGCTATTGATGTGAGGATTCGGAGATTGGTGACCTTTGTAGTTGGATGAATTGCCTTGTGTTGGATTGTGAGCTGTGTACTGCGTTGCTGTAAATTCTGTGTGATGATGGCGCGAAAGATGTCTCGGTGCTGCCAGACTGAGAGTGAAAATCTGGTAGGTTGATACGTTAATTTGTGGCGTGCGTGTTGTTGTTATCTTATCTATCAAGCTTGGATTTTGTATGAGTTAGTGTGCATGAGGCTGACTCAATTGTGCTTTTCCTTCTGTGTCACGGTGCTTCAAGCGTGGTAGAATATAGAGAGTGCGTGGACGTTTAAGATCTGTTTTGAGGCCTTCGTCTTAGCTCTGTGTCTTGATTCGTAGACGATAAGAGAACATTGAAACCAAAGAGTAACCATGTCTGAATTGGGCGTGCCTTCTCTTGGGACCCCAACGTAACAGACACATCCTTAGTCAATCTATTGGAAACTGCGCGATTCAATTACTAATTACCTGATCAATTGGGGCGGAATTATGAGTTCTCCCTGTTGCTTGAGAGTATTTGGAGAGCACTCATTTTTTTTTTCCAGATCTCGTGTGCGACCACTGGAGGTTGACAATTATATTGAATATTTCGACGGCGTAGTCTTTTGGTTTCCTTTCATTGCTACAGATTATAATGTGTGTGTAGTTTTATCTTCAGAGCTTGTATACTTTACTCTGTCTCCTCATCAGTATCATAATTCTTTGCCATAACGATTCTCGTTGTGATGAACGCGAAATAAGTGCCATTCTGCATGTTGGATCAATTCCACTTGGTTGATCGGGTTTCATCAATCTTAGTTTGTGTACACTTTCTATTTGTGGATTTTTTTTTTTTTTTGGTTTGAAGCTGTTCTTTTCGAAGAATTACGTGACCTATGTTGGGCTTGCTTCCTAAAGACTTGCTTGAGGGTTTTGACATGCAGTTCGAACACGGGTCGGGGAATCTATCGTGGTTAGATTTAAAACTTGAATAGCCATTAATTTCAATCAGGTCAATCATGTTAGTGAATTTCTGACGATTAATAAGGGAAAATGGAATCTCACCAGGGCAGAATGACTTCTTTTTTGGCAAGTTCGTAGTGCCCACTATATTTCAGAATTTGTTGTCTGCTCACCTCATGTGTCCTTGCAACGTTGTGGCAGCCTCCGAAAGTGAAAGGCTTCATCAACAGCGTAGTGAATACCCCACTGGAAAACATTGATGTGCCTCTCGGGAGGTTCAGTTGGGAATATGAGAAGGTGCAGTTCGATCGTCTGTATTGTTGTATCTGATTACTCAGACGGGTGAATGTCTTCTTCGTGTGTTCTTTGTTTTCAAGTTGTTTACATTCGACTCTCTCGATTGTAGGGAGAGTTTCACCATTGGGTGGACCTGTTCAACCACTTCGAGGTCTTCTTTGATCAGCATGTGAAGTCGAGGAAGGACTTACAATTGGAGGGTGAATTTTTGGATGGAGATGCTCCATTTCCCAAAGAAGCTGTACTGCAAATTCTCAGGGTTACGCGCATTATATTAGAAAATTGCGTGAACAAGTACCTATACAATAGTAATGAGGTAGAATACTCTATCATACAGCAATTCACTCTTTTTCTTCCAGCTTCAAAAGGTTCCGTTTTGCAGACTAGTGCAGACTTGAATGTAGATGTTATTTCTACATTCGTGTGCAAGTAGTTTTGGCGATATTTAAGCAGCTATGGGACACTTTGCGGATATTTTGGTTGAACCCTTGTGCCTTTAGTTGTTCGATGTTCCTTTAGCTCTTTCAGGTTTAGGGAAGTAGTTAAACTTCCTTCTATCATGAAACTGATTATACTAAGGGTCTGGTATTTTGGGCTGGGTGCAGCACGTGTCGTTGCTGTTTGCTTCCACGGACCCGGAGATAGTTATTGCAGCGTTGCAAACTTTAGCAGCGTTTGTGAAAAAACCCGTTCAGTCAAGTCGAGCTATGCGGTGGCATGGAGATACAACCCTCAATGCACGTCTGTTCTCTTTGTCACAGGGTTGGGGTGGTAAAGAAGAAGGACTAGGTTTATTGGCTTGTGCTGTAGACAATGGCTGTGACGCTAATGCTTGTAAACTAGGAGCTGCTGTCCACTTCGAGTTTTATGCGGAGTCTGATTCGACTTCCTCTCTTGATGAGATCAGCGCTTCTGGGCTTAGAGTGATTCACATTCCGGACGTTCATCTTCGACCTGAGGGAGATCTTCAGTTGCTTAAACTGTTAGTTGACCAATATCAAGTGCCTTATCACCTTAGATTTTCTCTTCTTACTCGTATTCGTTTTGCTAGGGCGTTTGCGAATCTTAACTCTAGGAGGCAGTATATATGCATAAGGTTGATTGCATTTACAGTTCTTTTCCAGTCAAATCCTGATCACGAGGATCTTACAGCTTTCTTCATAAATGAGCCAGAATTTGTAGACGAACTGGTAACCGTATTAAGATACGAGGATACAATTCCGGAGGAAATCCGGCTTTTGGCAGTATTAGCGTTGGCGGCCCAGTCACAGGATAGGCCCCGACAATCAAATGTGTTGAGCGTCATTAGTGTTGGTGGACACCGTGGCATTCTACCAAGTCTCATGCAGAAAGCCATCGGGTCTCTTAGGGAGGGATCTTCTGGATGCTCGGTTTCATTTGTAGAAGCACTCCTTTCTTTGGTCACTGTTCTTGTTTCGTCCTCAACCGGATGCGCTGCCTTAAGGGAGGCTGGATTGATTCCGACACTGCTTCCTCTTCTGAAGGATATGGATCCGCAGCACACACATTTGGTCAGTGCCGCTGTACATATATTGGAGGCTTTTATGGACTACAGCAACCCAGCTGGCACTCTGTTCCGAGACCTAGGTGGGCTAGGTGATACTATTGCGAGACTGAAAGTAGAAGTATCTCGTGTCGAAGAGGGGGCCAATGTCGAAAGAGAAGAATCAAAGGCGGGCAAGGTTGAGGCTGCAACCTGTTGTAACCCTTCGCTTTATCAACTGGGCTATGAAGAGGCAGATTCGCAATCTTCGCATGTGACTGGGCAGACGGATACTCTTATACCTTATCAGCAAAGACTACTGCTGAAGGCTTTATTGCGTGCTATTGCCCTTGGCACATACGCTCCAGGAAACTCTGCGAGGCACCACATCTCAGAAGAGAGCGCTTTGCCCTATTGCCTTAAAACTATCTTCAGGTAGTCTGGTCCTGTGAACCCTGCATGTATTCTGGCGGTTTGCCTCTTTTATCAGTCAGGTTACTGTTCCTTTTGAATCTTTTATTGTGGCCTGTTTACTTATAACGTGTTCTCATACTACAAAACTAATTGGATTCAGGTATTCTAAGGAGTTTGGAGGAGCTGTTTTTTCTTTGGCAGCATCTGTCATGAGTGATCTTGTGCACAAAGATCCAACCTGCTTTGCCACACTAGATAGTGCTGGGCTTCCCGCAGCCTTCCTGGATGCCATTACGTCTGGTGTGCTGCCATCTTCAGAAGCAGTCGGATGTATACCAAACACCTTGGATGCCCTGTGCTTGAACCCTTCTGGTCTTCAGGCAGTCCGGGATCGGAATGCTCTTGGCTGTTTTGTCAAGATTTTCACTTCGAAAATGTACTTACGAGCTCTTGCAAATGACACTCCTGCGTCCCTCGCTTCAGGCCTGGACGAGTTGCTGCGACATGCACCTGAATTGAGAGGCTTCGGAATAGATATGTTCATCATGATTTTAAAGACCATTGCAGCTATTGGTGGTGCACCAGTTGAGCCGGCAGTGCCTGTGACTGCCACCGATTCCAGCAATGTAAATGCACCTGTGCCGATGGATACAGATTTTGAGGAAAGACCCAGTACAGCAGCTGATTATCCACCTAGAGCATCATCGTCTCAGCAGCCACAAGATTCCGGAGCTGACAACAATCTGGAAGCTTTCTTGCCCGAATGTATAAATAACGCAGTACGACTGCTGGAAACAGTACTTCAGAATGCGGATACCAGTCGGATCTTTATAGAGAAAAAAGGAATTGAGGCTCTACTACAGCTTTACACTCTCCCACATTTACCAGTTTCTTTTGGAGGCTCCTCAATTGCACATAATATGTCTGTTACTTTTCGTGCATTTTCTCCACAACATTCAGGTCAACTTACCCAGGCAGTTTGTGGTGTCCTCAAAAATCAATTACAGGTAATTCTGCAGATTCGCCAATCCTTATGAATTTTAGTTTCTCATTAATTTTTAAAGTAATATTCCGTCAAACGCAATGAGTTGTTGAAATTTTTACTCATGAATTGAGCTCGGTTGATGATTTTGTTTCACCGCTAGGCATTCATGAATGTAGTGTAGTCTAAGTGTGGACTGGAAACCTGCGCTCTGATTTTATTCTAACAGGATTTTATCATGCAGGCAACTCTGGATCAGCTAAATGTTCTAAGGGGAACAAAAGTTTCTGATCTGGACAGTGGAGTAAGAACCAAGGTTGTTCGTACTTTCTCTGCTGCAGAATGCTATTTGTCTCTGTCTTCAGTATTGGTGCGAAGCTCGAACTCCATGATGAGTAAGTTGAGCGCAGGAGCTGCGGAAATTCTCAACAACGTTGGCACGGTTCATAGGGAGGTTCTCTGGCAGCTAGCGATGATCGTTGATGCAAAGGTAGAGCCGAAGAGAGAAACCGAAGCCAGTCCTGCCAGCGTAGGAGTTGGAACATCAGCGAGAGAAGGTGAGGAGGCTGCTGAGGCTTATCCCGTGGTTAGATATGTGAATCCTGTTCAAATTCGCAATGGACCGTCTTCTCCTTGGGGAATTGAACCTGAATTCTTATCTGCGCTGCATGGTAACGATGGTCCCCACCGAAGGTCACGCAGGGATCATCCTGCCAATGCTGAAGCTTTGACTCAGATTGCTCGTTTAGGTCGATTGGCTCGCCAAGCGGATTCTACCCGTGTTGATACAGAGAGCGTTACAAGTCTTTCGGAGACCTCTCCTGCCACAGAGGTAGCTAAACGGAAATCTCCAGAGTCAATGAATTATGACATGATGACTAGGTTGACGGCGGCTGCACGGGGTTTGTACGTGGCGTTGGGGAAAACTATGTTAATGCCATCGCGTAGAAGGGAGGATACCGTGCCATTGAATAGTGATGCTAAAATGGTTGCTGGGACACTCGCGAAGCTAATTCGTGACAATCTTAGTTTCAGCGGGCACGGGGAGGGTTCAGTTGGAGAGTCCACTGTCTCAGTTAAGTGCCGATACTTGGGAAAGGTAGTAGAAGATTTTTTGGCGGTAGTTTTCGACAGTAGACGAAAAACTTGCAACACCGTCTTATTGAATAATCTCTATGGACATGGAGCCATCAAGGAGTTACTAAAAACTTTTGCTGCAACAAGCGAACTTTTATGGACTTTGCCTCGAAATTCTGGTGTTTCTCCAATGGAAACTGAGAACGGAAAGTCTAAGTCCGAAGAAAAAGCTGTGGGCAATTCATGGCTCTTGGATACTTTGCGCAGCTATACTCGTTTAATGGAGTACCTCGTCACCTCGTCGCTGCTGTTGACCCCTACCTCAATGGCACAGATATTGATACAGCCTGTAGCTGGTGGATCAGAACCATTAGCCAAGGATCCGGAGGCTTTTGTCCGGATCTTGCATGCTGAGATTCTGGACGTTGTACTACCTTTGTGGATTAATCCTCTATTTCCACAATGTAGTCCAACCTTCATTTCATCAATAGCCTCCATCATTACGCACATTTATACAGGTGTCGGGGATACGAAAACAAGTCGTTCTGGAGGAGGTGCTGTTGCGGGGGCGCGTCTGGTCGGGCCTCCTCCTGATGAATCCACCATTTCATCGATTGTGGAAATGGGTTTCCCCCGCTCCAGGGCGGAAGAAGCGCTTCGTCGTGTTGGGGAGAACAGTACAGAGATGGCTGTTGAGTGGCTATTCAGCCATCCAGAGGAGGCAGTCCAGGTAAATCCTGATCCAGAAAAATGTGAAGAATCGTTTTGAAATTTCTGTTCAATCTAATGTCAGACGAGGAACCTTATCAGTTGATATTGAGATTAATCACCCTTTTACTTCCTGAAAATTACAGAATTTTGTCTAGATGAGAGAGCACGGTAATGTTCAGCCATAGAGTTAATGGTTTGCGGATCATTGATCTTGGACAAACTAGCTTGTGGTTAGTCATTAGCAATAAAGGCTACCTAGAATAAATATAATTAGTGGGTATCTTAACGGCACCTAAACAGCTCTATTTGGAACACCGCTTTGGTGTCACTGGAACCCCTGTTCTCCAAATGACGGTCTCCATCTTCCTAGTCGAATGAATGTGTTCTTGCACTTGGGCATTGTGATTATTACGTAGTTGTACTTTCTGTACTCTGTTTATTTTCTTGACTTGTTAATTCATTATTATTCCTGGTAAATAATTGTAGGAGGATGATGAGTTGGCACGAGCATTAGCATTGTCACTGGGTAGTGATGGTCCACCGAAGGAAGAACCAGCACCAATAAACCAGGATAAAGGACTTGTTGCTGAAAATGAAGTCAAACCTGTTCCCCCACTCGAAGAGATGCTGTTAACATGCATGAATCTTCTTCAATTTACAGATGCTGTTGCTTTTCCGATTACAGATTTGTTGGTCACTATGTGTAACCGTGGCAAGGGACAGCACCGTCCTCAAGTCATCTCTTATTTGGTTAAACAGCTGAAAAGTTGCAAAGTTGAGGGGTCGGTGACTGATACCTGTCCACTGTCAACTATTTCACATACTCTTGCTTTACTTTTGAGTGAAGATAGCACAGCTAGAGAGATTGCAGCACAGAATGGTGTAGTCTCTATTGCATTAGATATCCTTGAACAATTTCCACCAGTTAAGACTTCCCCGAAAGACGAGATTCCTAAGTGGGTTACTGCTCTTTTGCTTGTTCTGGATCACATGCTGGTCTATAAGCTCAAGGTGACTTATGATCAACCGAGTGGGTCAGTAACTACTGCTGCCGTCAGCAATAGCATGGCTATTAGTTCAGATACGCCTGCAGTAGCTGATCAGTCGTCTGAGGCTGTGAACGGGCGGAAGGATTCTAATACTAGTCCATTCATCTCAGTGCTTGGGAAACCATCTGGATATATGACAGAAGTTGAGCAGAGAAGAGCAATGTCTGTGGTTACGTGTTTTCTCCGTATGCAATTACCTTCCGCGACAGTTCAGGCAGTGCTGCAGCTATGTGCTCGGCTGACTAAGTCATACCCTATTGCATCTTCTTTCTTTCATTCAGGTAAGTTAATAAATACTAAGCCACTACCATCTACTTGTTTAATTTTATTCTAAGTTGTCTCTGCCACATCATTTGTATTCTAGAAGATTCTATTCATGAGTACATTAGTTACGTTGTAATGTTTAAGAGGATGTTCTAAATAGATCTTCGTGTTTTCAGATGGTTTAACTGCCCTTTTCAATTATCCATGGAACTGCTGTTTCCCTGGATTCGATACAATTGCAGCGGCTATCATCCGCCATCTTCTCGAAGATCCTCAAACACTTCAACAAACAATGGAAGCAGAAATTCGACATACACTTTCTGCCACACTATTGCGGCACAATGGTCGGGTTTCCCCGCATATGTTTTTGACAGTAATGGCTCCCGTCTTATCCCGTGATCCTACTATTTTTATGCAAGCCGCTTCCGTGGTTTGCCAATTAGAAACATTGGGTGGTCGTCCCACGATTGTGCTGGCCAAAGAAAAGAATAAGGAGAAGGATAAGGAGAAGGAAAAGGAGCAAGGGCAAGACAAACTTCCAGAGAAGTCAAGGAGTACAGACTTAGATACAAGCACAAAAGTGCACGAGTCTGGTAAGAGTGGTAGAGGGCATCATCACAAGAAGGTTGTACCCCATAGTTTCTCGTTGGTCATTGAACAGTTACTGGATATTATCCTTCATTATCCTCCAGGCTCAGTCGACCAGCTGCATGAAAAGGAAGATGAACTGTCATCAAAAGATAATAGCACTGCTATGGATGTAGACGACGCAGAAGTCAAGGACAAAGGCAAGGGGAAAGTTGAGGATCTTCCAAGATCCAAACCGGTAGCTAGTGCAGATATGGTAGAAAGTTTCGCTGCTATAGCTAAAGTAACATTCATACTTAGACTCATCACTGACATAATATTTATGTACTCTTCGGCTGTAAGTGTGGTCCTTCGGAGGGACCTCGAAAGCAGTCAAGGAAGAGGTCCAATACATGGTGGATTAGACGTTGTTGGTCATGGTGGTCTTCTCTACCACATTCTTCATAGGTTGCTCCCGTATCCAAGTGAGAAGGTCAATGATAAGGTGAACGAAGAAGAATGGAGAGAAAAGTTGTCAGATAGAGCAGCCTATTTTGTGGTGGCCATTTGTGTAAGATCAGGAGAAGGCAGGAAAAGGGTTGTGGTGGAGGTAGCACGTGCTCTCACATCAGCCTCACCGACGTCTTCGGGGCCATCTGAAGTTTCGAAAGCTCTGCAGTCTCCAAGTAGAAAAGTGCGGGCATTTGTGGATCTTGTGAATTCTGTTCTTTCTTCTCATTCTCCTACTGGAAGCGCTCAGACTCCTGGATTTTCACAAGATATGGCCAAATCTATGATGGATGTCGGCATGGTGCAGGCACTTACTCGTACTCTTCAGGTAATGTCATTCGTTTATCTCCCACCTTTTTATATGATATGTAGAATCATGCGTCGAATTAATTTCCATGCTTATTTTCCTGTCTTCCTAGACCATACACTACGTTTTGTCATGAAAAGTTTATTTATCTGCATTATAATTGGCATAAAAGAGTTATCAAATCTGAAATAGTTAATGCTATTAAACCTACGTGGTATTACGGTGCTTGGAGTGCAGCTTTTACATTTCATTTAAGGATTGAAAATTGTTCCAGTAGAAACTTTGGCTTTACATTTAATATTGGTCTTACTTTGTGGCCTTTATTTCAATAAACGTCAATGATCGTGTATGCTGGATGTAGGTGATTGATCTTGATCATCCCGATGCACCCAAGCTGGTGAACTCTATATTGAAAGCACTTGAGGCTCTCACAAGGGTAGCCAGCATGGCTGACCGTGCTTATGGGTCTGATGGGGCTGGACCAAAAAAATCAACTGAACAGCAGGGGATCGAAATTATTCATGCTGAAACTGAAACTAGAACAGAAGATGGTAGTCATCCCCAGGCAAGGGATGAAACCATGCGGGACTCAGTACCTCAAGATGCAACAATTCCAGAAATAGGTCCTCCACCTGCTAATAGTACAGAAATTGTCCACGAGGAACATATGGAGCACAACGATGGATCTGATCGAGATGTTGCGGAGGAGGTGAATGTAATATTTCTTCAGCGTTGTTTGATATATGCAGTAGGGATTTATGAGATTTTCGTCTTTGATGCATCAGAATGTGCAGAATGTATATGAACGATTTGACCTGGATTTATGAATGATCATTTATGCTGGAGGTGGCATCTGTAACAGGTTTGCATTGAAGCAGAAGCCGAGGAAGAGTTCATGCGTGAAGCGGCCGAGGATGCTGCAGAGCTGGAGGGTGCTGCTGTTGTTATGCATTACAGTATGGAACATGGACCGGATGATGAGATTGTGGATGAAGAGAATGACGAGGAGGAGGATATGGATGGTGACGAGGGTGATGATGATGGAGAGGAAGAGGAGGAGGAAGAGGACGAAGATGAAGATGACATGAATGCTGATGAAGGTGATATAACCTGTTCTTTTTTAAGTGCATTATCGTTTGTGCCTAAAGGCATTTGGAACAGCGAAACTTGTTTTACAATTCCAGAGGTTGGAAAATGTAAATGCGGAAAGAAATGGGCTTGTGCCAACAGCATCCGTAGAAATACCAATTTGTACAATATTCTCGTAAGGGCTCTATAGTTGCTGTTTTGCTTACTTGGGTAAACATGTCGTTCGAATGCTTAAGTCAGTAAAATATGTCATAATTGCTGGTGCATTCTGGATGTTGGGCAACTCGTACGTTGTGTTAATAGAATATTCTTGGTGCTCCGTCTTGAAGTTTGCCGCATCGAACTTCCACAGACAACTTGTTAATACCACTTGTAAATTTGGGTTCATCCTGAATTTACAAAGATATATTCTTGGATGCAGGAGTTCCGCATCTTTCGCCACCAGACACCGACGTTGAGGACCACGAAGACAACGGTCTGGGTGATGATTATGAGGATATAATTCAAGAGGATGAAGATGAGGATGATGACTCTTACGGAGATCGGGTTATTGAGGTTCGGTGGCGTGATGGCCTTACAGGTCTTAGCCATGTTCAGGTAAGCATTTGACAGATCCACGTGAGAGTTGAGCCACAACGCTTCAAGGTTATACGGCTGGTTTTAGAATACTGCATGTCAACAGATCTTTTCGCAACTGTTTTGTGACTTCTTGTGCTATTTTTCGTCTCCTTAATGATCTCAAATAGTGGGGTGTTATGACCTATTTACCCACGTATTACAGTCAGGGTGTATTTTTCTTCGTTCATAAAGCTTTCCGTATCTCGCAATTGATAACCCTTGTGCTCTAGGTTTGGCAGATTCTAAGCATTCTACTTGCAATGTAGGTCTTGGGCCATACAGGTGCCAGCAATTTAGTAGATTTTCCAGGAGACCCTTTTCAGGGGATGAACATGGATGATGTTTTTGGATCTTTCCGTAGACCTGGAGGCAGCGATCGCCGACGGACAACTACCTCTCGATCGTTCCCTGAGCGATCAGGTGGTGAGCGTGGTGGTGCTCTCCACCATCCCTTGCTTACAAGACCGTCTGCTACTACAGGTGGAAGTGTAACTACAGCAAACACTAACAACTCGCTATGGCCTAGTACCAGCAGTATCGTTCGGGATGCGGAAGCCATGCTTGGTGGTGGAGCCCTGGATGTTACTCACTTCTACATGTATGATGCGCCTATGATTACTGAGCGTACATCAGAAGGAGTTCTTGTAGAGAGGGGATTTGGGGGTGCACCACCTCTTCTAGATTTCTCAACTGACTCTGTATACCCGATGGGTAGACGAGGTGGTCGGACTGAAAGCCGTTTGAGTAGCTGGACAGATGATGGTCAACCACAAGCTGGTGCGCAGGCTGCTGCTGTAGCACATGCTATTGAAGAACAGTTTATTGAACAGCTCCGTCAACTTGTTCCTAGTGTTGAACAAGCGTCAGTTCAATCTCCAGTTCATTTGAATACTACTGCGGCTGTAGAATCTACAGAAGTAAGAGGTACAAGTGCTGGACGTAGCATTGTTGGGGGAGAATCGCAAGGGACTCAGATTATTATGGGTGAGCAGTCGGGTGAAGCGATATCGGAGCCACCCAACGACGGTGGTGTTGTGAACTCAGGGCGTGATGAGGCCCACAGGTTGGGTAGTGGAAGTGCAACTGCTAATCAGAGATCTACTGATCTTGATGTTCAGATGCAAGATGAAAGAAGTGAACCCGTGGTCCGGGACACTGAGGCCAATAGCCAAGATAGTGGAGGAAGTGGAGCAACTGTTGGGGAAAGTCTCCGTAGTTTGGAAGTTGAGATAGGCAGCGCTGATGGTCATGATGAAGGTGATCGTCATCCTGGGCCAGAGAGATTAGTTGCTAGCGAGTTGCAGCCTGCTGGTGGAGTTGAGAGGGTTACTGCTAGTTCCAGAAGGTCTGGGCAAGGAGGAGATATTGATGAAGCCATGGAAGGTACAGGTACAGCTGGCTCCCAACAAGGGGGAGTAATTGATGAGGAAAGACGGAGTGATCGCACTGGAGAGCATTTGGTTGCACCGGCTGCTACAAGTGTTGGAGGGCATAACTCACATGGAAATACTGAGGGACCTAATCCAAGCTCGAGTTCTATAGATCCAACTTTTCTTGAGGCTTTGCCAGCTGACCTGCGTGCAGAAGTCCTAGCATCGGAGCAAACGGGAGCTGTCAGACCACCAAATTCTACTCCCACTGCGCCACCTGAGGAAATTGATCCTGAGTTTCTTGCTGCCTTGCCACCGGATATTCAGGCGGAGGTTTTAGCACAACAGCGTGCACAGCGGGCAGTGATAGCGCAGACGATTGAGGGACAACCAGTAGATATGGACAGTGCGTCCATCATTGCCACCTTTCCAGCTGAACTCCGTGAAGAGGTCAGATTCGCAATTATCGTTTTTCATGAAAACCTCGCTTCTGATTGCTAGGGCCAGGATCAGAATATATATTGCTGTCATCATTGTGCTTATAAATAGAAGAGTTATACGATTGTTCCTATTTGTTTTGCAGGTTCTGTTGACATCTTCAGAGGCTGTCCTAGCTGCCTTACCCCCGGCGCTTTTAGCTGAAGCTCAACTTTTACGTGAGAGGGCCATGAATCAATATCAGGCAAGAGGTCTTTTTGGAGCTGCTACGCATCGTATAACCCATAGGCGCAATAACTTAGGTGTTGGAACAGGAGCAGGAACAGGAACAACTGCTGAGGATGGAAGTTTGGGAGCAGGGGCTGGAGTTGTAGTGGGTCGGAGACCAGTAGCTCTCAGTAGCAACTCAAAAATGAAGGAAGCTGAAGGCAAGCCTCTTGTGGACACATCTGCACTGAAAGCGTTGCTGCGTCTTCTAAGACTGGCACAGGTATGTCGTTATTTGTAGATTTCCACATCAAGTTATATATGTCCCTCGCTTTTTACCTTAAGTCATAAGCTACATTAAGTTGAATATGTCTTCAATAATTGTTAATCCTGTGTTTTTGACTCGTAATGTGCTCGTGTCTGCAGCCTCTGGGGAAGGGCCTTCTACAGAGACTGCTTTTGAATTTGTGTGCACACAGTGTGACGCGCCTGACACTGCTGCAACTTTTGCTGGGCATGTTACGTCCAGAAGCAGAGGGAAATGCCACAGGGGGTATATCTGCTGATGGTGCTCAATCTCAGCGTTTGTACGGCTGTCAATGGAATGTCGTGTATGCGCGGTCTCAGATGTCAGATGGTACTCTGCTTCCACCATGTTTGGATTACCAATTTTTTTGGTTGCTACCAATTTCTGGTTTTAAGGGCTCGTCATTTACTCCACACTTATGCTGGAAAATCCTTTTTTGTGTGGATTATATTGTTGGCAATGAACTTTTGACGCAAAGTCTAATTGTATTTGGTTATTTGCTGTAAATCTTTGACAAGATGATTCTTGATTTTTGTTTTGCAGGAATACCACCTCTTGTGTCTCGACGGGTGCTTGAGATCTTGACTTACTTAGCTCGAAATCATTCGGTCGTAGCTAACCTGCTCTTGTACATGGAGCCACTAGGACAGCTCGGAGGAGCTTCCACAGAGGTTTCTTCTCATAAAGGCAAAGAGAAAGGGAAAGCCAAGGTAGTTGAAGTTTCTGGAGATGCATCTGAAAAGCGTAAGATGAAAGGAGAAAGTCCCCTTGTCCTACTTCTAAAGCTGTTGAATCAGCCACTCTACTCTCGAAACAGTGCTCACTTGGAGCAGGTATTTACACAAGATGGACTTAATTTGTGGTGTTGTTTGTATTCACTTAATTTTTATGTCCCCGATGATCTTGAGCTATAAAAATGGTCCTCTCAAATTCGCTGGCGCAGGTAATGGGTTTGCTTGAGGTCGTAACAACCAATGCCGGATCCAAAGCAGAAGCGAAGTCCAAGGCGACGGTCAGCGAAGGTCGTTCTCTACCCGCAAATACTGATTCAGCTCCAGCTGAAATGGCTCCTGCGGTAACCACACCTGCATCATTGGGTGGAGAGGCAGAGACTGTTACAACAATGGTCGATTCTCAACCTGATTTAGGTGCTGAAGCTGCAAGATCTGATGCCTTGGGTCACGCTAATCCTTCCACTGAGGATCATATGGGGCCCTCAACCTTAGGTTCAAGTGTTAAATTCGATCCATCTGCTATTCTTGCGAACCTGCCTGAACCAGAGCTTCGGAATTTGTGCAAACTTCTTGCTCAGGAAGGGTGAGTAATATTGTGGAATCGTTTTTACTTGGTTGCTTCCAGGTCTGTTTTTGGTGTTGTTTGGAAGTAGATCTTCTTTTTAAAAGTAATTTGTTTACTTCTTTTGCTTCCTTTTATGTCCATTAATAAAAGAATACAGTTTATGTTGGGTTTTCATTTGTCTACTTAGAAGTCTGTCTAAGTGGGAAGGTTTTTTTTCCTTTTTTTCTTTTTTTCTTTTTTTGTGCAGTCTTTCAGATACAGCCTACACACGTGTTGCAGAGGTTTTGAAGAAACTTGCAACTGCCGCTCCAACCCATCGGCGACTTTTTGTAGCTGAGCTAGCCGTGGCTGCAAGACTTCTTAGTGGTCCTGCTGTGGACGAACTCCATCGATTGGGCAATGCAGAGACTGTTGCTGTTAGCACTACATCTATGGCCGGAGCAGCCATTCTTAGGGTACTACAAGCTCTTAGTGCCCTTACAACTGGCATTGGGAATACATCTGATCATGACAGTAGAGGAGAAGGAAAAGAGCAAGAAGATGTGATGTTGGTGAGGGACTTGTACGGAGGGTTGGAGATGCTTTGGCAGGGTTTGAGTGTTTGCGTTGGAAAGATAGAGGGGCGGCTGGGCAATCCAACTTCCCTCGGCGGTGCCTCTACCAGTGTTAGTTCTGTACCAGCGGCTGTTATCGGGGCAGGTCCTGGCAGCGTCGCTCCTCCTCTTCCACCTGGCACACAGAGGCTGCTACCCTTTGTGGAAGCATTTTTTGTACTCTGTGAAAAATTCAAGGCAGGTTCCTCTCAATCTGGACAAAATGAGCCTCACAGCGCAACTGCCAGTGAGATAAAGGAAGCAGAAGCTTCACTTTCTACTGATCTTATCCTCTCTCCACCGTCTCCTCGGTCTCCTCGGCAACTTCAAAAGCCCTGGAAACCTGAGAACGAGAAGACAATGACCTTTATAAGATTTGTTGAAAAGCACCGGCGCCTTTTGAACGCATTTGTCCGTCAAAATCCAGGACTGCTTGAAAAGTCCCTTTGCCTTTTGTTGAGAACCCCTCGCTTGATCGACTTCGACAACAAGCGGGCATATTTTCGATCTCGTATCAGACAGCAACATGAACAGCAGCATTACTCTCCACTTCGAATTTGCGTGAGGCGGGCATACGTTCTTGAGGATTCGTACAATCAGCTGCGAATGAGGACTCCGGATGAGTTGAAAGGTCGTCTGACCGTTCAATTTCAAGGAGAGGAGGGTATTGATGCTGGTGGTTTAACCCGTGAGTGGTATCAGTTGCTGTCCCGCGTGACGTTTGACAAGGGGGCTCTTCTATTTACAACTGTTGGGAATGAATCTACTTTCCAGCCCAATCCAAATTCTGTTTATCAAACGGAACATCTGTCATACTTCAAGTTTGTTGGTCGTGTGGTAAGTTATTTCCGTTGTGCTCTGATTTAATATAGAGACGCAAGGCGCAGACTAATTTTGGATTTATCCCTCAGATTCGTCTTGTAAAGCTGTCTTGAGTTATCTTAGTTCCGATGTCAATACCGTTGATATCACTTCTATTAACTTCACTTGGTGAACTAACCACGCTATGCAACTTGAATACCAAACCCAGGTTGCGAAGGCACTAATTGATGGGCAATTGCTTGATGTTTACTTCACGAGATCGTTCTATAAGCACATTCTAGGAGTTAAGGTAACTTATCATGATATCGAGGCTATTGATCCAGGCTACTTCAAGAATTTGAAGTGGATCCTAGAGGTATGCAATACCTCTTTACTACAAAGCTTTATTCCTGTTTGACAATATAGGTCTTAAGATCATTTTGAATCTGCCTAAGTTCCAACATGTTGTCTGCGTCATTTACATATATGTCTTGTAATATGTAAAGTAGTGAATAAAGGGTGGTCAAAAGGTTTAGAACCTGATGATTTAGATAGTACACGATAGTACCGAACAAACTGGGAGATTCGCTAGTCCTGACTTCATATTATTTTGATTCTTTTTGCAGAATGACATAAGCGATCTTCCAGACTTAACTTTTAGCATGGATGCTGATGAAGAAAAGCACATTTTGTACGAGAAGACTGAGGTACTGTCCAATCGCGATCAACATGTGTCTTTGAATAGATTGAATACTATTGGCATGTGCGGAGATTTGTGGCAATCTTTTGTTTGAGATATCTGTTGATCGATTTTCATTTATGCTCTCTTCGCAGGTAACGGATTTTGAGCTTATCCCTGGTGGTCGTGACATACGGGTGACAGAAGAGAATAAGCATGAATATGTGGACAAAGTTGCAGAACATCGCTTGACGACTGCTATTCGACCACAAATAAATGCTTTCATGGAGGGTTTCAATGAACTCGTTTCACGGGACCTCATCTCTATATTCAATGACAAGGAACTAGAGCTTCTCATCAGTGGCCTTCCAGAGATTGATTGTGAGTGCTTACTTGTCCTTGCCTAGAAATATTTTATGATTATTGGAGACTGAGGGTTCTTTTGTACAATGTTATTTGAATTGATTCGATGATTTGTGTAAAACCTCAGTTACTTTTAGGCCGATTTTTGGAGTTTTCTGCTAGCATCTATTGTTTTGTTTTTTTTGTCTTTTCACAGAGTTTTGGTTTTGGACAAGACTTTTCTAAATTGATTGTTTTCAATGACAGTGGATGATTTGAAGACCAACACCGAGTATACAGGGTACACAGCAGCATCACCTGTGGTGCAATGGTTCTGGGATGTTGTGCGATCTTTTAGTAAGGAGGACATGGCTCGCCTCTTGCAATTTATTACTGGGACTTCTAAGGTGGGTATTAGATACTAATTTGTCATGCCTGCATGCTGATATTGCTCTGATGTGCCTGAAAATATCATTTCCCTTACTAGTATATGTTTGTCCTTGATCATATTGTGTTTGTTTGATATCAATTGATATCGGTGACGTTGTGTAGTTTGCTTACAACGAAATTTATCTGCAGGTGCCACTTGAGGGTTTCCGAGCATTGCAAGGTATATCAGGCCCACAGCGGTTTCAGATTCACAAAGCCTATGGAGCACCTGAACGGCTACCTTCTGCTCACACTTGGTATGTCTCCACCTTTCAAATCTTTACGTTATGGCCTACATATTTAACAGTTTTGCAGTTTAAACATTAAATGACAATGTGTGCCCTGTAATTGGATGATGGTAGTCATTGTCTAACATAACAATTCTAAACTGATCTCGGTTTCTTTACCGATAATGACATGTTTTGTATCATCGTATATGCACAGCTTCAACCAACTGGATTTACCTGACTATGCAACGAAAGAGCAGCTTCAGGATCGGTTATTATTGGCTATACATGAGGGCAGTGAAGGTTTTGGTTTTGGTTGATAACCATGTCAAGGTGGTGCTTGTACTAGTGTCATAATATTAGTAGTCTATTTGGGGTCTGAGTAAATACTTGTGGCTGTGCCTGTACTGGCCCTTTCTCTTGTCTTCAGTGATGAGATAAAATATCTGGTCTCATCAATTGTCACCGTGTTCCATTTCTTCCTTGAGTAGTTGTGATTTTTTTATGCACACTTCAGCCGCATTGGATACTCTGGACGAACGGAAAAGCAGGATTGTGGCGTATTCAGTAGGATAGCAGACCCCTGCAGCCTGTCCATTCCCCCCTCACCTCTTTTGTATATAATGGTTTCTTATTTATGCCTTATTTCCTATATGAATGTTTGAACATTCGATTACTACTGCTTTGGTCTCCTGTTATTTTGGCCACTGCACTTCAAGCATTTATATATTGTTTAGCACGAATGTCAGATTGTCAGGAAATCTTCACCTGCACGACTTGAGTTGAGATTTGTTATCCACCAGGTTAAAGCTGGGTTCTGAAAGAGATGGTGTTAGTTATCTGAAGTTGTGTTTTGTGATAGTAACCAACAACTTTCTTGATGAAAGTAACAGAACCCTATTTTTTTCTTGGGCCAATCCGTCGATTGAACTCAGATTGGTCCTATTGCCATGTACTTGACCATGAATATGAACCCATGCAGATGGGCTAACGTAACAGTGGCTTCAATTCGTCACAGGGAATGGGCTTCTCAGTCTGTGAAGTTAAAGTGCCATAATGTGAATGCATTTGCTTATGTGATTGCATCAGTTTAGAACTGTTTTTTCCTTGTGTCACAACTAATATGTTTTTGAATTTTTTATTTTTATTTTTAATATTAGCAAACTAGGAGGAGTTCAGTTCTTGTGTGAGATCAGTATACAATAAGTGATGGGAAGTTTTGACCTGAATGTCAACATTTTTGAGCTATACATTTTGGAGTTTGACTTGGATGTTGTTAGAAGTGTTTCAATATGGGAGGCTTCTTAAATGGTGATATTCAATTAATGGGTTGACACATCTTAATTAATTACTCAAAATGGAGATATTGTCAAATTTTCAATACCTATAAAAACATGGGACAAATATATGTTGGTCAAAGTACATTTCACCTAAATTTTTAGTCATGTCCTTTTACATAATATAATTTTAAAACTATTATTGATATTATACATTTGGATGTTTGTAATGTATCAATGTTTATAGCTATTTTTTAATTTGAATAGTTTGAGTTTTAATATAACATAAAATAAACAAACTTATTAATTTTTAATTTACTAATCTAACTAAAGAACTATATGGCAATGTTCTATAGGTCATTTGACATGTGTCCAACTTATGAGACACATTTGTAACTTGTAAGTTTTTAACATGTATAGCATGTAGCCAACTTATTAGTTACATTTTCAACCTATCAATCATTTACAAATACTTAAAAAGTCAAAGCTGTGTCTATAAAGCTTTTAAGAAGTTTTTTCATATTGTTGAAATCATTAAATGTAGCCGGCGTTCTCCATAATATTTACTGTAGACTACAGTAAATACCATAGCTACAGTATTTAGAATCTAGTGGAGAAGTATTGTTTATCTTCTCCCCTTTTCTCTTCTTGTATACAAGACACAACCAAATCAATAGATTTTTTATGTGTGAAGCTCTCTCTCTTTAGAAACCCTCTTGTGTGTATGACTTTCTACTACTCTTGTGTGTGTGTATGACTTATTATTACTCTTGTGTCTTTCTAAACATTCTTAACACGTTATCAGCACGACTTTCTTCTATACACTATCACAATTTTTTTTGCTCTAGTCTTTATTCTTCAAACCTGTTTCTACTTTTGCTTAGTGTCTCATTCATGATTGTATTGCTCTTCTTGTTGGCCCCTTATACATTAGCTGCTTGCTTAGAATACTTGTTCCACTCTCTGCCTTACTTGCTTAGAATACTTGTTTAGAATACTTGATCCAGCCCAACTCCACCCCAGCTTGCTCCTTGTTGTGCCCCAAACTACTACCAAATAGTTGTCGAATTACCCTCGAACTTGTCGCTGCCACCCTGTTGCCGCTGACGTTGTCGCCCGCCGCCGCCCTATCGTCACTATCGCCGCTGCCCGCCGCTGCCACCTTGCCGCTCTACTGCTGTCGCCCTACCGCTGCCTGCTGCTACCATCTTATTGTTGTTCTATTGCCTTAATCCATAATCTCCTTAAAATATATATATATATATATATTCAAGTTCAAGTTTATCATTTTATTTGATTTTATATTTTAAGGTATGTTTTGCTCAACTTTTCTACTTGATCTTGTATTTTCTTTACAGATTTATTTATAATGAGTGCTTCAAAATCTTCAACTGCTTTTACTATGGTTCCAACTATTACCAGTGCATCCCAACATTTTCAAGCTTTTTTATTTCTACCATTGAATGTGGATGGAAACAATTATCTATTATGGGCAAAAATGGCAAAAGCAAATTTATTTGTAGAACAACTCTCGAATGCCATTATGTTTGAAGAATCTCCTACAATGCATATTTCTATACCTCCTGCTATTCGTTGGAAAGCACTTCTTCTCCTTCATCGTCATCTTGTACCTGCATTACAACATCAATATTTGGAAATAAAAGATCTTGCAGAACTTCGAAAGAATCTTAAATCCAGGTTTGATCATCAAAAGATAATTTTTCTTCTATGTGCACATCATAATTGGACACATTTACGTGTCTTGGATTTTTCAAATTTAAATGCTTTCAATAGTGAAATGTATAATACTGTCTCACAATTACGATTATGTGGACAAAGCATTTTTGAAGAAGAAATGATTGAAAAAACTCTCTCTACATTTCCTCCTGTATCTCTTGTGCTTGCACAACAATACATGAACATGAAATTTTAGAATCATTTTGGTCTCATGTCCTATCTACTTCTTGTGGAGAAGCAAAATGATCTATTCTTATGTAATGTGGAAGCTTGTCCTATTGGAACTACAGTTCCAGAATCTCATGCGCTTAATATTTCAAAGTCTAAGAAGAAATTATATAAACATGGAAAACATGCTCAAAAGTATCAGGGTAGTCATAGTCATGACCATTTCTACCCATATGGAAAGAATAAATGTTCTATTATTAATTATAATAGAAAATAAAAATCAGATATGCGTTCTTGCCATAAGTGTGGAATGATTGGATATTTAGCACATGCGTGCCGTAGTTTAAAATATTTTATTAAAATATTCCAAGAAAATAAGAAACTACAAGCTGAGGCTCGTGAACTTCATACCATGGATGCGTCAATGGATTCAATTAGTGTTGATGACTTAGAGGCTTATATGAATGACAAAACCTCTAATGATGAATCAAATGATGCGCTCATTGATTCTGCAACAATATATACTAACTTACAAGATAGACGATTTTTTATTGAAAAATCTTTAACTCAGCAAACTAAAAATATGATGACCATGGCTGGAGCAAATGCATTTTGTTTCCAAGAGGGCACAGCGATGGTAAAATTACATGCGGGTTCCATCATAAAATGTAAACATGTGATGTTTGCAGCCTTAGCACCTCGAAGCGTAATCAACTATCGAGATGTGCATATTAATGGTTATCACCTCTCGATTGTGACTTTAAATAGAAAAGAGGTTTTGGTTCTTACGAAGAATCATAAAGTTATTGAAAAAGCTTTTGCTACAGAAAATGGTTTATACCAAATTATGATTTGGCCTCCTATTATATTTAGTTTTGCATCATCTATCATAGAGAGTCGTGTTTCTCTGTAGCATGGACGATTGGGACATCCAGGATCCATATTATTTAGAAAGATTATTCCATGTATAACTGGGCACAATTTAAAGCTTGCGGATGTAGACTTTATGGAATTATGTTGTGCATGTGTGTAAGGTAAAATGATTACTCGGCCTTCAATTTGGAAACTTCCACAAGAATTACCACCAATGCTTGAAAGATTGCATGGTGATATTTGTGGTCCTATTAATCCAATATAAAGACCATTTCATTATTTTTTGGTCCTTGTTGATGTATCACATAAACAATCACATGTTTCATTATTATCAACTCAAAACATGGTGTTTGCCAATCTTATATCTATACTTATTTGTTTTCAGGTACATTTTCCTGATTATCCTATAAAAACATTATATATGGATAATGCAAAAGAATTCGCATCAAAGTCTTTTGAAGACTATTGTACTACAATAGGAATTGAGTTGACATATTGTGTTTCATATGAACATACTCAAAATAGACTTGCAGAGTCATTTATAAAGCGTATATAAGTCATTACCTAGCCACTGCTCTTTCATGCAAATTTACTTGCATCTATGTGGGGTCATGCAGTTTTATATACTGCAGCATTAATATGCCTCCGCCCTTCTTCTCTTGAAATTGTTTCACCACATGAGCTCATTTTGGATTGTGTTTCAAATGTATCTTACTTACAAGTATTTGGTTGCCGTGCTTGGATTCCAGTACCAGAACCTCAACAACGTACCATTGAAGCTTATCGACAAGAAGGCATATATGTTGGTTTTGATTAACCAAGCATTATCCATATTATTGATTCATCAACTGGCACATTATTATGTGTATGTTTGTAAAATTGCCGTTTTGAAGAAAGTGTATTTCCATCTCTTCAAGGAGGAGTATTCAATCAACAAAGAAATAAAGTACTCATATTTGAAGCACTTGAAACGTTTAGAATGAATCCTGATCCTAAGACATCTTCGACAGAAACTGAAGTTACTAAGATTTTGTATCTAAAACGGATCGCAGATGAAACACATGATAGCTTCAATGATGCACCTAGAATTACAAGAGTTCCTATTAATGAGGCTCAAAATGCACCTACTCAGATTCCAGTGCCATTGATTATAATACCTCAAGTTATAACAACAACAACTAAAAGAACTTGTGGACCAAATAAACAACCATGTAAGAAGAAAGCTATAAAATTGACTAATCTTGGTATTATTTTTCAAGAAATTGCCATTCATCTTGTGGGACTACCAATTCATGATGATATATTCATGCATAATATACCTTCAATTCCTATGAAAAACAATCTTGGAATTGGAAGGAATAAGAACAAGTTGAATAAAGAATTATCTATTCTGTATTGTGCTACAGATGATATTTAGGACAGACCATCTATTATGGTAGATGAATCATTTGCATATAAGATTATAGAAGCCCTTTCTTGCGAAGAAGACAATCCTGAACCTCAAACCATTGAGGAGGCGATGCATCACTCTGATTGATCAAAACGGAAAACTGCTATTGAGGAGGAGTATGCTTCTTTGCATAAGAGGAAAGTCTTTGGTCCAATTGTAGACTCTCTTACATCTCGCCCTGTGGGATATAAGATGGTATTAATATGCAAGCGAGATGCTCAAGGCCAAATAATCTGCTATAAAGCTCGTCTTGTTATTCAAGGATTTACTCAACGATTTGGCATTGATTATGAATCCACATATTCTCCAATCATAGATTCAATTACATTTTGATATATTATTGGAATGATAGTTTATACCACCCTTGAGATGCATCTGATGGATGTAGTAATTGCATATCTATATGGTTCTTTTCATGCAAATATTTATATGAAAGTTCTACCTAGCTTAGAAATAAGAACTCCAAATCAACCTGCTTCAGGACAATATCGTGGTATTAAATTATATAAG